GTGTGTGTGTGTGTGTGTGTGTGTGTGTGTGTGCGCGCGCGCGCTCCACACACACATATACTAGAGGGTATAGTCAAACAAAACATACCTGTGAGCTGGATCAACTCCTGGCTGCAGAGTTTCTAGTGTCTGCCTTAAGTGAAGGGGATTTATAGTACAGACAAAATGCCTCGAATAAATATGAAGTCAGGAGGGTTTCTCTGCACTAACAATTGATCCCTTCATCAAAGGACAAAATTGCAACAAATTTAGTTAAAGATCTTGATTGGCTTTATTTCTATTCTAGAATCAGGTAACATGTCATTGCATAAAATAAGAGGCTGACTTTATAGACAGAATAAAAAGGGCTCAAGAAAGAAGAAACAAAGAACAAAAAGTGGATTGGTCATTTCAATGTTACTTTCCTTGCAAGGTGGGGACAGGGAGACAGAAGGATAGGAAAGTAACTGATTATTTAATATCAGGTTGCTTGTTTTGTGTAAGGATTAAAGCAAGTGGAATTTCATTATCATGCCTATTGAAGATTTAAACTGACCTGTTTGGGAAATTGGCTGTTATCTCCCTCTCCTGATTTCTAGGAAGGTCAGACAACAACTTAATTGGGTTTTGTGATGTGAAACTTCAGCAGGGGTAACTCCATTTTGATTTTTTAGTCTGGTTTGTTGGGGCCTAGTACAGGAACTTAGTCCAAAACAGTGGCCTACTAAAATTTTTATTTAACACTGGTAGAGAGGTGGAAAGAACAGAAAGAGCTCAGGGTCTTGGTTCTTTGAACTGGAGGGAAGAAGCAAAAACCCAGAGAGAAATGGCAAGTGGGTCCACCAGTAAAAGGTCCCACTCCCCACGGTAGTCACATAAAGTTGAGAGGAGCTGGACTTGAAGAGGGCATGTAGACAAAAACCATGATGATAGAGATCGCACTTTAACTTCCCACTCCCACTCCAAACCCCAGAAATTTGGCACAATTTCTGAGGCAGGCAGAGCAGGAGAAAAGGTTAAGTTTTGTTCTAGCTAGATATAGCTGGAGAGTAGGGATTTAGAGTCAAAATGAAATTGAGTTACAGAAAACAAAGTAATATTTCTCATACAACTGACTTTGTGGAGAGAGTCTTCCTTATTAATTACGTTTACTAGCCATTCCTTTATTCAACCACTATTTATTTTGTACCTATGTGCAAAGGACTGTGAAAGAGACTGACATGTATGATATATCTCCAGTATACCATTTTAGATTGGCAAAGTGAACCCATGATAGCCATGAGACATGATAAAAGGCCTTCCTCTAGTGACTGGCTGGACTTGATAAGAACGAGTTAGTCTGAAGCAAATTATATTCTTGATGAGCTGAGAAGAAAGTCAGGAATTATTTCTGTGAAGTGAAAAAGTCTACGCATTCCTTTCCTGTGTTTTCTAGACTGAAATATTAGAACATGTTTCTTCATAAAGCATTCTCTGCTTATTTCAGCTGGAAATTTTCTCTCCATTTTCTGATGGCTATGGCATATTATCTATATTTTTGCTATTGCATGTATTTTAACTCATTATTAATTTTTGTAGAGTGTATTATTTCCCTTTAGATGTTCTCAGAGAAGTGTTTCAAACCATTATCACAGTACATATTCAGTGCATTATAAATGTTATGTATATGGTAGACAAGTTATCATCAAATAATGTTCCTCAAAATATAGGCCTCTTGCATCAGAGTTACCCTGAGTGCTTGTTAAAATGCATATTCCCATGCCCTCCTTCAATTCTACTGAATCAGAATCTCTGCGTGTGAAACTGGGAACGTAGATTTTTAATGAACTTGGTACAGTCTGAGAAGTATGCATTTCAGGGTATAATAGTCAGAGTAAAGTGTAGGAATGGCAACTGGGTTTCATCTAGAGTGCTAACTCTGGTAATGGGTGCTGCTGAATGGAATTCAGAGGCTGAGGCTAGGTTCCATGGGAAACCATGGCATCTAGTACCTGATATGGACAAGTGCGGAGGGGGGGCAGTTGTGTGTGGCATATTTGGTATCTCTGAATATGTTAATCTCAGAAATGGAGAGAGTGGGCCGGCCCGGTGGCGCACTGGATAGGTGCACCGCTTGGGAAGCGTGGTGGCGCTCCCGCCCGAGGGTTCGGATCCCACATGCAGACCGGTTCCCGCTCACTGGCTGAGCGAGGCGCGGGGGCAACGCCGAGGGTTGCAATCCCGTTGCCGGACACGGAAAAAGACAAAAAAGAAAAAAAAAAAAAAAAAAAAAAAAAAAAAAAAAA